CTCTATAAATAAAACAAAAAAATGCAAAAAACCTAACAAAAAATAACTACCTATGGCACTGTTCACGGGAATGCACGTAGTAGAACTACATGTAGCTCACAGGCTACAATATACAAACTGATGCGGAAGATTGCTTCGAGGTAAATAAACCAGAAGCGTGGTAATCCGAGTATTCCGGTTCCGAATTCCGGCATTCCATAGTTTCCAACCTGCAGTCTGTTACTCGTATGTCACTCGTGGGACTCGTGTGGTGTTTTAGTCACGATCAGTATGAATTAGTGACATGTGCGAGTGTCAAATCATCAGTTCCCTCTCTGGGTTAAGCTGCTTATTATTTTAAACTGCAACGTTGACAAGAAACATTAAAAGAAAATCTTTTCAAAGCAGAACTTCAAAACCGTTTCAAAAAAATAGAAACTCAGTGAAACGCTAACCTGCCGCCGAACATTAAAGGAACTTTGGCACCATACTGAACTTCGGATCTATTTTCATATTATTTTTTAATCCATATCATAATCCTAAAAACTTTCAAATATTTCCTCAAACAGTTATCTAAATGCTCGAGTTATATATATATGCGTTATTAACCAAGCTCGTTCGGTCTAGATGGCTGGATATTAGCCGAGTTCTTTTATCGCATTTTTATGGAACAAGACGAATTCGAGGTCCATAAAAATGTGAAAAAAAAATAGCGAGGCTAATATCCAGCTATCTAGACCGAACAAGCTTGGTTAATAGAGGATTTACTTTACTTTACTTTACTTTACTTTAATCATTTTCTCAACAAACTTAACACACATACAAAGCTGAGGGGAAGGCCAAGAAACAGGAACAGGTTCCCTTACAAAAGGCCACCCAAAAAAGAAAAACACTACACATACCTATATATTATAATAATACAATAATAATTATAAATTAGGTTAATTCGGCGTCTAACTGGTATAGATAAGCCTTACAAAGACTTTTAAAATCAGAAAAAGACTCAGACTTTCTGACATGCACAGGTAAACAATTCCAGGCCTTAACTGTTCTTCGGAAATAGGAATATTTTAGCATGTTTGTTCTCGCATGTTGAGTTTTAAATGACAGATCAGCATTTCTTAGTCATTTTTTCTGCATTTTTTCTGCATTTTTTCTGGAAATAATAAAACTAGATGAGTTAATATTTAAGAGTCCCTTTAAACATTTATAAAAGAAGATCAAGTCGAGTAGAGTCCTTCTCGACTTAAGGGTTAGAAGATGGAGAGATTTCAACCGCTCCACGTAAGATTTTGCTTTGATCATGAGTCGCGTGGCTCGTCTTTGAATGCTTTCAATCATGTCCTGCAAAAAGGCTTGGTGAGGGGACCAGATTTCGCTGGCGTATTCAAGGTGAGGCCGCACAAGGTGTATSTAAAGCTTGCGAATCACAGCAGACTGTGTCTGATTTCCACATGTCCGTTTAATTAGCCGCAGGATCTTATTACCAGAATTTACTTTAATTTGTAAAGATGTGGTCAGGCCATGCTAGTATATGATGTAGCATTATACCTAGATCCTTTTCCGCGTCAGATAGGAGTAATTGTTCCGTATCAAGATGATAGATATTGTGGATTGGTTTTTTTCTTCCTTGTTATACAGAATTGTTTATATTTCGGTGAATTAAAGTTCATTTCCCATAGTTTACTCCAATCATGTAGAGCAGACAGATCGTTTTGGAGGGTGTAACAATCATTGAGGTCGTTTATCATATTGCAAAATGATTTCGCTTTATTAAGAATTCAGAATGACTTTTTTACTTTGAGAGCCAGGAGAAAAAGTCAACCGTGGTTGTAGCACAACAAACTCACAAGAGTCGTTTCTGTTTTCTTTGTTGTGACGAGGATGATGATGATGATGTCTGTATTTATCGATTACGCAACAACATATACCTGCAAACAAACGTGTAAGGTTTACAAAACTGTCACTGAAGAGAAAACTAGTTATAATCTAGTGAAACTAAATAGACATCTGTCGATAAAAGTTCGCTTAAAACGTTCCATACGAATACGAAGTAAATTGAAGTTATGGCCGCAAGAACGGAGAGACCTTCCCCTCTGCATGGTAACAATCTTCTGCCGCTTTTAGCGTTTTGTGCCGAAATTGTCCGAGAAATACGAACGTTGTTCTAATTCAATTTTTTTCATGCGCGGAATCAATGCGGGCAATCCCGAGCTGGCAAGATGGGCCCATCTTGCCCGCTCGGGTAGCCAATCAGAACACAGGATTCGCTTCATCTTGCCCGCGGGCGCTGCGAGCGATGTAATAATTTTACGGACTAAAAGTATTTACTGAATTGCGCGCGTCACACTCCACCCACGTTGCCACATGTTTAAATCGCCCTGTTCTATTCTTAACTGCTCTGTAGACATGGCACTAAGGACGCATAAATCAGTTCGGGTGCGTACGTCAAACATGAAAACGCTGGCCTTTTTTCTTTTACACCTGTCTACTTACTTCATAATCACGAAAGGACATCAAATAAAAATTTTTACTCTCCGTGTTAATCGGGTTCTCAATTGTATTTCCTACAATTCTCTGATTTCCTTTACTGATTGGAAAGAAAATAGTGACCGGTCTCATCTATATTAATACCTTGACTGCTATATATGCAATTTCTCAAGGCAGAAACATGATAGATCAATATGACGAAACTTCCAATCCAATAGATTTGAAAAAAGGGGTTTGGCTTTTAGGACTGGAGTTTCACCGTTCTGTCGAACCGTATTGGCGCTTAGAAGAAATAGTTGTTTTTACTATCAGACCAAAGCAGATTGAAGTTGTGACTTCACTGGCGGCTAAATAAGCAATCAAGCACACGGACGAAATTAAAGACATTTAGATGAAATACAGGATTGTGTATGGAGAACATATTATAGCATTCAATTGAGGTTACCACGCGTATGTGACCTGCGATAAACAGTGGTACAACTTGCTACGCCGTTAATCTTCTTATTACAGAAATTATTTCTCTAACAAAAATTGATTTTTGGATGAAATAGTGAAAAACCGTCAGTTAGACGACATAATTGTCCTGTTTATTTATTTTAATTAAATATTCGCATCTCACCGTGTATTTTCAGGTGTCCGTTTGTTTTCGTAATGCCGTTTGTTTGTTTTCTCCAATTGCTAACCGAATGAGACGTTTGAATTCTGACACCGTTTATCAGTTTACATCAGTTCTATTCCAAGTAAACACGAGCCGAAGGACGAAAACCTTTTCCTCAGCTACGGACGTAGCTTTTCATAATTAATGCTCATTAGTAACTCAAGATATGAAATGTATCTGAGGCAATAACTTTGAAATTTGAAATTTTTAGGTTAAAGCTTTAAGGTGCTATCTTTGTGCTGATATCGCCACCGATCGTAACCTGCTAAGCGAAGTGATTGGCCGACAAATTTGTTAATTCGCATGGGTCAACTTTAGTTCTTGGCCTTCGTTTCCTGATACCTGAGATAAAATCGACACTAGTTTTACCGAAGTCCCCTCCCTCGTGTATCCGTTATCATTTGAAAACGCAACGCTTTTTTTACGGATATGGCTTCCGTCCACAAATATTCCATGAAAACGATCACTGAAAACGGAACTTTTCAAAAACACTCTCCAGAGTGGAACCCTTTGAAAACGTTGTTAACGCGTGTACGAGTGGACGGGCAAAACGGACATTTTCGACAGCGCTAACGTCACACCATCAGTTCCAATCCACGCCGCTGACTCATAATAGCGAATACGCTTACGTCAAGCAGGCGCAGACGGGTTATGGATTAAAAGCTATCGTTTTTAAATCAATTCATCGTATAAGTATGAATTGGCGAAAACGACGAGAAAAAGTTATGTGTGAACGGAGAAAAAAGTTGCGTTTTCAAACGAATACAGGTGCCCATTAGCCGGAGCTTCCATCTCAGTTGTACCCTTGAGTCAACCTCTTCCCGTATCTTTTTATTTTTAGAACTGAGATATTTGCGGGAGTTCTTTAATCTTCCCGCACTTTCCGCCATTATTGAAATAATTTCGTGCGGCCTGGAAGTGACACAATAGAGACGACAGCTCTCTTATGATTGGCTATTATAAAAACACCCGCGAAAACCGCCGTGGGAGGTGCTTCTAAAAATAGAAAGATACGGGACAGGGTTGGCTCAGAGGGTCAGTATGGAAGATGGAAGCTCCGGGTAATGGGCTCCTGACGAATACAGATACGTGTGAACGGAGCCTTGATAACATAGTATACCCCTCCTCCCCCGTTTCAATGCCTGTTAAGGTTTGTTTCATTATTCGTACACGCACCCAAGGCCCTAGCTTTCATTGCAAGGGATTGTTTGCTGATTCCAAATGTTCTGGATGGCTTTATTTACACCCACGAGTTTTTTTTTATAGAAAGTAAGCAAACAGCGCAGAGGGTTCTACAAACAAAGGACGTGTTTACCAACAATCAATGAAGGAGCTAAGAGAAGACATAATTCACTGAAATATACACATTTTACATCAGCATCTTGAAAGTTTTCTATTGATAGTTTCGTTGTCCTTTACTCAGTAAGTTGATCACGATTTGAGCGAGAATTCTTAGGATCACTTTCTTCGTGATTCAAAGCGAAACCTTGTACATTTTTAAACTTGCGGAAGTGAACCTTACAAATATAGATACCTGTCACTCATCAAATTTCCTACTTTTTCTTTTCATTATTGACAAAAATCAACTCTAAACACTGCATTTATCTCTTTGATCTCATTCTCAAGGGTATTTTGACGGCATGTTGGTTCAGTCTTCCTGAAATAAGACTATTATTCTTATGATTTTTCTAGGAGTTCATTCCTGGTTTGATTCGTGGGATAATGGGTCAGTATATTGCGAACATTTCTTCATCTCCCCCCAACGTGTCCAATAAGGAAATAAAAAGTGAAGTGTAGTTAAAAATAGGATGGAACTGATTGAACTTCCTTTTTGTGGTCAGGAGCATGTTTCAACCTACATGGCACGATAACTGGAATTTAATGAGCGCAAAAAGATATAAAAATCGTTGTCAACCTCGCCAAAGTTGACTTGAAACTTCCAAGCATAAAAGAAATTTGAAATCACGGCCTTGTGAGTTAGAGGTAAGAAAATCTATTGAGAATAAAAGCTTAAAAATGCAGTGTTCTAGTACCACCTTAAATGGTATCTATGGTTCCAGTGTAAATGTCCAATATCGTTAGGTGGTGCTCTTTTCAATCTACGCGAGTCTTCCACTAACATTCGACTCCATTTAGCCCTACCGCCATTTTTGAATCGCAGCTATGTATGAACACCATTAACATTCCAGTAACTGATAAAGTACATTTAACTGATAAACATTTAACTGATAAAGTACAAAGTTAACTGCTGTTGTTATTCCTTTTTTTAAAGAGGTTTGAGGTTTGGGAGCCTCTTCCATTTCCTTTTCTTTTTTTTCAATCGCTTTTCTGAGCCCATCAACCACAAAGTGCTTAGCTCTATATCGTACGACAACTTACAAACATGTTCTGTAAGGAAAGAAATTACCATCCTTACTTCTTACAGCGTTACAGTCATTACTCTTAAATCTTGTTAATGTAGGATACGAACAAATATTTTAACTTCGCGAGTATAGTCAGGTATTCCGATGTTTCTATGACATAACTTGGGTTTGTTCTTATATCTGGATAATCAGGACCTCAAAGGAAACAGTTTGCTGAAGAAAAGCGGAAAACAAGTTAGATCTTTAGGTGGAAACTACGATGGCTCTTGCTGGAGAAGTAAGAAAATACAATCTTAGACTTAAAAAGTTATTTTTAAATAACTTAGAGGAATATTCGCATCCAGAGATAGAAATTAACTATACTTTTCGATTAAAGAATTAAGAGGAAATATTCCTAAGAGATTTATTACATTTAAACCATGGAATAGTTTGGCTTGCTTCCTGAAATTTTTAAAAAGTTTTATCTTGAAAAAAAAAAAACAAACCGTAGATTCCGATCAGTTTATTGACGGTTACGTGTTGCATTTAATTTTCAGATACTCTTACCCATGGCTGTAATCTTGGGCTCTTTCACCTTGGCTTCTCCCAAACCTGTCTTTATTAACCAAACAAACGAACAGCAATTCAAACACCGAATGTTATTGCAGCAAAGTGTTCTCGTTGAACCTGAGGAGCGCACCATCGATGATCATGTCTGGGGCGATGAGATCAACGAATTGGTAGACTATAGAATTGCAAATAATCGTACGGCTAGAAATGCTCATGGTTGCGTTTCAAAATGGGTGAATAAGCTTGATAAATGCAGAAACAAAATGGTAACGGAGGTCAAATGTTATTCATTGCATCCGGCGTGTAACCACGTGATCCCTAAGCACTTTCAACCAAAGTGTGAACCTGTAATGGGCTTCTGGGAGGCTGGTTTCATTACCAAGTGTCCCCCTCTTAAAATAAATTGCCAATGTGCTAGTTAATGAAGGAACTATTATCTATCTGGAATTAAAAGTTACTATGACTTGATAACCTGCACTGTAACCGTCATTAAAATTAATGAATATTATTGAATATTAATGAATATTAACAAGCCGGTCTTGTGTAAAACATCTGGTATGTTCCTTTAGAAATAAACAATTTGAAAAAAAAATTGGCTAAATTTCAGCCAGTAATTTGTTTTGACTGACTCATTAAACAATGTTTGTACGTTCTGGACAAATTAACTCTTATTCATATTGACTATGAGCCCAAAAAAATCGCTTTTATCTGAACTTAATTTTTTTACTTGGTAATCATAGTCTCCATAAGGGTTTGCAGTCCGAGAAGAATAACCAGAATTGTTAGAATTCTGAAGAAAAAGTAAATAAAAACTGCAAAGTAGAGTAAAAGAAGTTTTTTACGCTGCCTTTCTCGTTGCAAAGAACTAAAAAGATAACTGCTGACCTAATTACGATTCCCAGGAGAAAATTTAGAGGAAATCAATTTTTCTTGGAGAAGTCCTCTGAGTAAGTTTCCTTGATTATTCTGTGACTTAAGTGGTATTCCTCGGTGAGTGTTTTAACTAATGTTCAGGTTAAGGTAGTTGTGGGGCGAGACGAACTGAAACGGGAAAGACTTGGACAGCGTAGAACCACGCTGGAAATATCTGCACCGCCGGGCTGGTTATGCTGTGGTTTAGCAGTGTAACACAGTGAGGGTAACAACATCACACCAACAGCAGTAGCAACACATTCTGGAACATCCTCCAAGTTGATTGGCAAAAGTATTTGTCCCTCATCTGGATTCACAGCCATGAAAATTTCTTCTTTTTTATTAACTTGGATTAAAAGCAAATGCCCCGTTTTTCGCACTTCACACCAGCCTTGCCCATCTCCAAGCCTGAAAAATTTTACCTGGACAACGTTGCGCTCTTCATCCAGGGACTGTTCATCGGATTGCCTCACTCCCATGCAGACTGCCCAGTCCACTCGCCCTCTAATCAAAAGAACTGTCTCACCGTCCGACATGCTATTCGTGATACATTTGGAGGGGTCTTCCAAAGGTTCCAAAGGGCTAGGAAATATATTGTCATTGATCAGTTGAGCTGACGCGACAGTATTTCCATCATCATCATCAACGATCTCTAATACCATGACCCCAGCTGGCTCAGCGTTCAAAACACGGCATGTGAATGCATCCTTTCCGCTATGGCTGTACACTCGGTAAACTAGTAGTTCGCATGGCATCCTCTGTTTCGTGAGTATTTCTCTCCCAAGTACCGTCTTGGGAGTTGAAACAACATCTGCTGGATGCAAGAATTTCGCAGACTCTGGTTCTGGACTAAGAGTAAATCTGTAACTCAGCGGTTTGGGTAAGCCACATGTCTTGATGGTAATGTATGCTTTTCTATCAGCAGGCCCAAATAGTGGAATAGGTATACGGAAAATGTTCGTTTCTGACTCCATTCTGATGGCAGTTTGTAAACACTCAGCTAGATCCACAGTATGGCACATCTTTGGAGTCTTTGAAAACAACTTCTTTTGATAGAAGGAAAGAGTGAGGCTGGTTTTGTCATCTGTATTAACAACAAATTGAGCAAGTGGTTGGTGATCTCCCTCAAGGATATGACTGCCTCCTTTCAATTTCTTTTTCCAAATAACTGTTTCGTCATCTAGCTGAAGCGTGAAAGAAAATTTTTTGTCATTTTCAAAGTTTTCTATCTCAAACTTTGAGAGTTCCATCTCAAACTCAAACATTGCCAAATTACGATGAATTGCCTTGGGTTGAAATGGTAGAGGCGGGGGACATTCACCGCGAAAGATGGCTCCGGGTCTTTTGAAAGCCATTTCGTATTTATTCCATGTTGCTTCAGTGTCACTTTCAAGTGACAGGTGTTTAGAAATTTCCAAAGCGCCAATTTTTGCTTCGGGATGTTTAAGGACGTATCCAAGAAATTTTCTTGTGTCTGCTTTATAACTTGAGGGGTGGAGAAGGTGTGTTTTCCAGATGAGATCGACATCACAACATGGCACCAGAACGATGTCCGGATTCTCCTTCGTTAGGATTAAATGCTGCTTGTAGCGTCGCAAGGACGACATGAGAAAGAATGAGTCTCTGTAATGAGGAAGAGAGGTATTGTGGTAAAGGTTTCGTAGACGACAAGAAGCTTCTTGTAAATCGCATCGGAGGTTGCAAATGTACTTTGGGACATAGCTGGGGAGATGTTCTAGATCCACCTCGAAAGGTTCCGTGGGGTAGGCTTTCTCCCAAAGGGTTCGTGCTCTAAATAGGGCTTCTTCCTTTTCCAATTCGACGTTTATTCGATGATCGACTTCCCTGAACACAATGTTCCTGCAGTCTTCTTCATAAAAACCCCCATCCAAAATGTGAGTTTGCCACACCCATTCCACGTCTAGTGGAGCCTGGAGTTCTCTTCCATCAAGATTGTTGCTCTTAAACAAGGGTAGCCATAACATCTCATATCTTCTCAAAGCGTTTTTGAAAAGTGCACCTTGAAATAGGGTTGGATATTGATCCACAACCCTTAGAAACTGGAGTTCATTCAGAGCTGCTTCCACAAAGTCGATTTGGCACGACAGATCCACTTCACATGTACTAAGGGTCATTTTCCTGCAGTCAGTTTACGAAGGCATTGGATGAGCTACAAGACTAGTAGCAGTACGTATGATGCACGATCCTTCGCAGTAGATAGCGCTAGTTATGCAATAGCGAAAATCAGCCCTGAAAAAAATCAGGCCTGTACGGAGAGGTCAGTGGTTCGAATCCCGTACAGGCCTGATATTTTTCAGGTCTGATTTTCGCTATTGCATAAATAGCGCTATCTACTGCGAAGGATCGTGCATCATACGTATTTAATACCGCAGTTCAAAATATATGAACTTCATATATATTCATTGTACAAGTAACAGTTTACGTCGAGACGAGATGTCTTTCCATTTGCACTGAGAAACGTGAATTCAACACATTCATTTACACAAACGTGTTGGAACATATCAGCCACTTGTTTAATGAACATTTTTAGTGCTAGCATTAGAGGACTACGCGATATTACTCTACTGCCTTCCAAAGAAATATACTTCAGATTCTCTGAAACTGCGGCCACCCCCTAGCTGTCACGCAAGTCTTGACTAAACATACCCGCGAGCCTGAATGAGCTTTGTGTTTTCCCACAAATATTGACCAAACTGATTACTATTGCAACTATGAATTACGAAGTTAAGGTTAGAGAGATCTATTGGATAGATCTGAAGAATTCTGAAATGCTAGTAACTCTAGAAAGAAAGGAAAAATGTTTGGCACTTGTTAACCTTGGTCATAAACTAAGGAAATGAAGAAATCCTAACTGTTATCACACTTGCTTTCTATCGCTCTCTATCGTCATCTATTCTCGTTGGTGGCTCGAGAACAATGATGAAGTCTTCAAGATGCTTTTCCCACAAAAATTGTCGAAATTGTTCAATACAAAGTGCAGGCTTTGTCTCCGTAAGCTTTGTCTCAGGAAGCTTTGTCTCATCTCAGGTCAGATAGGTTTCCTTAGGAATTACTGAAGTTATTTGACTGAAACGTGAATCAGTTTACAGTCCAAACTTTCCCCTCATAAATTACCACAACATTACTGTTCATGGCTTACCTCGGAATATTCAAAACAGTACGACAAGCTGTTCGCGTTGGTTGTGAATTTTGAGGAAAATATTATCCGCCTTCACTTGTGATTGATCGCTTGAAAACTGAGACGCTAATATTCGAGCCAAAGTCACGTTAGGATATATATGTTGGAGGGTAAAGCGCGATTGCGTTACATGGCGCGATGAGACTCTGGAATGGTGTCTGTCGAACAGACCCAATTTGTTCGCTCCACCTCTCCAGTTGCCCAAACCTGGTACAAGTGACATTTTACTGTGTTGATCAGGCCCAGGACTACTCCACCAAATCAAACCCCTTCTGTGAATATTATATCTAAAAGGGATCTCAGGCCTAGTAGGATCCGTGAGTTTGGTAGCTGGATTACACAATACGACTGGTCCGATGTTTTGGGTCTTACACATGTCCAGGAAAAATATGATTTGTTTAATTCTACCTTGGTTGAGGCAGTCAACTACTATCTTCGCGTGCAGTGTACTAAATGCTGCTCTTCAGATAAACCTTTGATTACACACAAGCTGAAATCTTTGATCATTAAACGCCAAAAAGCTCTTGTTGTCTATGGTAAAGACTCGCAGCACTACAAAAAAAGTTGCGTAATAAGGTGCAGAGGGCACGCATGGAATGTAAACAAAAGTTCTATGATAGTAAGGTGGCCTCCCTTAAAGAAAGTAACATCAGTCGGTGGTGGCGTGAGATAAAAGGTCTTACTGGTCAAAGAGCTCAAACAGACTGGGTAACCCAGTTACTCGACGAGGATACTCCCACTCCAGCTGCCCTAGCAGAGAAGTTCAACTCCTTTTGGTCTGCCCTTACGTCACATTTCACTCCCCTAGACACCACATGTGCTGACCTCGATCATAACCTCGATGTCCCAAGGGAGTTCCTTGTTGATGTCTTTAGCTGCTATAAAACCCTGCGCCAAGTCAAGAATAATAAATTGCCTGGGCCCTCAACGGTTCCTAACAAGATCTGGAAGGAATTTGCTTTTGAACTTACTCCGGTAATTACTGACATTTATAATGCCTCGGTAAGGCAAGGATTCATCCCTTATCAGATCAAGGAGTTGTTGGTCACACCCCTCCCGAAATGTTCACCACCTAAATGTATTAAGAACGATTTAAGGCCAGTTACCTTAACTTCTCAACTAGCTAAAATATTAGAGGGTTTCTCGTTAGCCCCCTATTTAATCAGGTCTTCGATAAAATTGATCTAAAACAATTTGCTCTTCCAGGCAGATCAACCACACACGCGCTCGTTTACTTGCTACATTGTATCCAAGAAACGCTTGACAACGGCCATTGCTATGCACGTATTTTGTTTACTGATTTTAGCAAAGGATTTGACCTGGTGGATCATCCTGTTTTGGTATCTGAGCTTCGTGATTTAGGGGTACATGAGGCCTCAAAATTGGTTGTGCACTCTCTAATAGCGTTATTCCAAGGGGCGATATTCCTCAGGGGACAAGACTAGCCCCTCTGTTGTTCGCTGTCCCCCCCATAATCTAGTTAAGGACTGGAAAACTAGAGTTAAGTATGTAGATGATTTGTCAGTCTTTAGAGATTATTCCTAGATGCTCAACCAGCATGTTGCCCTTTGTAGCGATGCTAGTAGTCATGGTATGAAGCTAAACCCATCGAAATGTAAAGAACTACGCATAGATTTCTTACAGTATAAGCCCTTGGATCTACCCCCCTTACAGATGTCAGGCGGTGTTATTGAGTAAGTGTCATCTTATAAGTTACTCGGTGTCCATCTGTAACACAATTTGTCAAGGTCCGTTCATTGCGACTATATTGTGAAGAAAGCATGCAAGCGGCTCTCTGCGTTACGAAATCAGGCCTCCCACCAGCAGATCTTATTCAGGTTTATTGTAGCCTGGTACCGCCCATTTTAGAATTTGCATCTCCGGTGTGGGCCGCGTTACCCACCGGTCTGGTTCCACACCCCACCAATGTCACCCATAGGTACAGGTTGAGGTCCGGTTTTTCCTGTTCTCAATTCCGCTTCGTCAGAACAGACCGCCTTAGTAAGTTCGTTACTCACAGTTACAATAGGGCTTAATTGTTTTAGCTTGTTATGCCAAGTGTATTGTGTTCTGTGTAGAATTGAATGAATTTTACTGTCTCCCTTGTTATTTAGTGTTTAACACAACCAAAGGGTTAAATAAACTGATTATTTGTTTATTTATTTATAACTCTCTTCTTCGTGATTTCGAACTGATTCGCGCTATCCTCGCACTTTGCGTCATCCCTTGCTTTCATTTTACGCTACTGCTACCACGCCATGACAAAAACTTGAGAAGAAAGAGGATATTATGAGACCTCAACTGCAAGTTTTCAACTTTTTTTAATAAAAAAATCGTATTCAATAAAAATACTGCACCAATTTAGCTTAGGTACAAGTTAAATATCGTTATAGGCATGTTGTTGTCATTACATTTGTATTAAAACATTCTCTTCTGGGAAAACGAAATTTTTTGATCACCCAACTCTGACTATCTTAGACATTTTACTGTCCATATTTCTCTACAGGCGAAGGTAGCTGTTCTGGGCGTCTCTTCCGCGCCACATTCCACCAGCCACGCATGCTCTCCTTAGTGTTATTTTTATCGTCATAGCCTATATTCCATTTCCTAGACAATTTACTGTCCATATTTCTCTACAGGCGAAGGTAGCTGTTCTGGGCGTCTCTTCCGCGCCACACTCCACCAGCCACGCATGCTCTCCTCAGTGTTATTCTTATCTTCATAGCCTATATTTCATTTTAGTATATAGACTGTGTAAAAACTTGTCAGTTGTGAACAGAAATTAAGGTGCATCTCCTAGTTAAAGAAGTCTGTAATTCATGAAAGATTGGACAAAAGACAGTATAACTTACGCATGTCCAATTTTGCCTCTCGAGAACCACATGTAAATATATATTTGATGTAAATGAGACTCAAATACTGAACTCCAACTTATTCATTTGTTACTAAACTGAGAAGGAGTGGAACTCCAAGCACTAATCCTAAACACGTTACTTTTCATTCTATTTCATTGTTGAGCATCATATAGTTTGTAAGAACGAGATCCTTGTTACGTCGGAGTTTAACTGTATAATCTGTGTTTAAATAAAATCTACAAAATATCTTTTGACCCTTTCCGTAGAATGGGTTCCCTGATTTAAAAAAATTACTCAAATGATCTCTCAGATCTATTTTCTTCGCTGGAAACACATTTAAGCAGGCAACTTCACCAAAATCCGCATGGGAATCATAAACAGCAAGGCACCAACGAAGTAACACCAAAATGGTCCCACACTCCAGTAAACTAAAATACACAAAATAAAAAACTGATTGATCTCAAAAATTGTTTATTATCATAAACACCTTTAAAAAAAAATAAAACAAAGAACAAACTGGAAAAAAAAAAGGGAAAGTGAGGGGGCAATTGAATACCTGTACAGCTCACAAACGGGCCTATGGCTCGAGCAAAGGCCCCAATAGACCTGAATATTCCCATGATTTTTCCTTTTTGGTCAGCATTTCCTTGAAATAGATTAAAATTTTGGTCAAACAATAATTCTCTAATATCAGTTAACAACAAAAGCAGAACATAGAAAGATAGACAGAGGGAAATGTTTCCTCACCATGATGGGAGATCATGGTTGTCAAACATGGTACTACTGTTGCTGAACCTGAAAAAGATGATTGCAAAACTACTGAATACTTCTTGTAAAATTCAAATGGATGACTGTGCAGATTATACAGATAATGAACTGGGGAAGTGGAAAGAACTGATTTATTATCATTGTCACAACCAAAGGACACCCAGCCAGTGAATCAGTGGAAACAGACTGAAATTAACAAATAGTAAGGCACCTATAATGTTATTGACACATTCATTTACTTTTTGTCATACTCAGTTTCCCTCCCAGAACCAAGTTGGTACTAAAATAAGGACTAAAACATTGATAGAAAAAAAAAAAGAACATACCAAATGCAAACAATGTCAGCCCCATGTAAAGTGTGGTAATGGTCTTTGCCAAACCAACAATGACCATGGCTGGCATGATGGCTGCCATACCCTAAATTTCCACACACAAACATAGAATGAGAAAAACGAATCAATACTAATATGGTTGTAAGTATAACTTCTGCATGCTGACTCAGAGAACTATAATACTATTAGATTTATATTGAGCTCAAGGCATTTTAGACTTGTTAAGCATAACAAATTTATTTCATTGTCGCACTGAAAGCATGCAGGCCATGTATATACATATATAGTAAATCAATAATAGAAATAAAAAGACAAAAAGGGATTGCATAAAAGAGAAGACTGTACCATACAGGAAGCAACCCAAAATCTAACTAAAAAATCTGATAAGAAATTTAAATTTGAATAAAATTTCCCTCACTAAAACTTTATTTCATTGTCATACTAAAAGCAGGCAATGTTCCTCACCAACAAATTTAAATCATTGTAACAATGAAAACAGACAATTTCCTTCCCTGTTTTCCAAGCATAGTTTACCTTAAGAGCTGTTTTCTTTTCTGTGCCTGCAGCTTGTCTGCGGACATAACCACCTAATTGCGACAAAAACAAAGAATATGAGCAGGGTGGAGAAGTATCACGTAGAGACTGTGATCTATAAAAATGAACTGGTTCCAACAAAAAATTAACATTTTCTCAAGGGACTTAGTAATTCCCTTTCTGGTGACTAATAATCTGTTAATCAGTCAGATGCCATACATAAAGAAATGGTAACTATGATTATAAGAATATAAGTAACTGTTAAGCTCATTCTTTGAGTAGACAGGAATTCTAAGACCAATCAAAATGCATACCTGACATTCACTCTATCGTGGTAGAGTCTAGATCATGGGACTAAATGTAGTGCTTTATAAACCTAACAATATAATGTTTACAACACTTTTATCCATTAAGGATAACAGTAAGTTAACATATCTTGTGTGGTATTTTTGCATACCTTGTACCAGTGCCATAGTAATTCCTATGAAGAAAAACATCATTCCCTGTTGCATACTGCAAAAGCAGATCAAAATGATTTTTTAGTTCCCATCCCATGCACATCAAAATGGCAACCTTTTTTTAATAACACTATCCAAAAAAAAAGTTCCAAAGACACCATAGAATGCTCCACAGATACACAAAGGTTTATTGCAAAACTGAAAAGTTTTTCTTGACAGTATAAAATTTAATAATGAAAACTAATGGATTTTTGTTGAATTCTCATAAGGCTTCACAAGAAACAAACCAAGCCCAGAACATTCATCTGTCTTTCTAGTTAGGATTGCACTTTTCTAATTTTTTGCAACACATTGAAACAATTACATTCCAAACCTTCTCAGTTTCCATCACATACCTTGAATATTTGAAATTCTTGTGTGTCAAAAATGTTAATGTGAACTCAAGTCCAGAGAAGAAAAAGAGGAACAGAAAGTACACCAAGCCAATGCCACGAACTGTTTTTAAATCTGAAATTAGAAACAAAGTGAACTTTGCTTTTGAGTTTAAAGAGAAACCTAACTTGTCCACTTTGGTAGTGCTAAAGCCTCAACCCTCAACTTGACTGAGCTACAATCAGTGAGTTCCTGTTTGTTAAACCGCTGACTGAATTCTAGTATGTAATCTCAATACAATACTTTCCCATTTTCATCACAGAGTTTGTAAGAACCATTCCTTACTTGTACATGTATGTTCAGTAATCACCTCTACACAATTTGCAATATTATACATTCAATTCATTGACCTGCTCCCTTGCTCGGCCAATTTGAAGTTTATGATTAATATATAAAAAGGTTTGACATCATACAGTTAAATGTGGCTTTCCATCCTTGTTTTTTTTTTTTATCATTATTATTTCCTTAACTGAGTTCTATGCTTGATAGCTTTCCATTGCTGCACATGTCATTTACCTTCTTTACTGGATTGTATCTCTACAGCATCAAATTTTAGCAGTGACACTGGGTTGATAAGGTGATTGGCATTTTTAAATTCAGACAGCAAACACTTAGCCTATAAGGTAAAATACATGAAACATATTTAATGAATAGTTTTACATGTAGCTTAGATTAGTTGGTATAATTAATAAAAATGATTGGGAGTTAACTTTGACATTTAACTTAAAAATTGAAATATCGAAATCTGTATTTTTCATGTTCTTGCATCCTCTACCCTGTATCTGACTGAATTTGCTCTAAACAGGCAAAGAATTACTACCCTTGAAATTTGGCAGAATCTGTTACATCTATGTGTAAATCTTAAGTTTTTCACTGTTTTGAAAGTCACTATTTGTTTACTTTTGAAATGGAAAGATTGAAAAATTGATTAAAAGCATCACCCTTTTCTCTTTAGAAAGAGATTCCCTTAGGCACACAAAGACAAACATCAAGTCTGCTACTGTCAAAATGATGGCAAACAAAGCTGGGAACAGATAGGGGTTTCCACTTTCAAGAGACGACCTCTTGGCAAAGACAGCACCCACAACAGGTCCAATGATGAATCCAAAGGAATACGCAATACCCACAAGAGCCTGTTAGTAACACAAAACTTGGTTAATACTTGTATCTATAAAGCATACATTCAATTATCTAACTGTATTGATGTAGGGCAGGTGCATCAATGGAAGTGAATCAATGGTGCATCAATGTGCATCAATCATCACCATCAATGGTGCATCAATCATCAGGTGCATCAATGGAAGTGGAATTCAGGGTAAAAATCATGACAAGCAATCAAAAGTTAGATACAGATGTTGTCAGTGGTACACTTTCTTTTAAGACTCTCTCTTTGATATCCCCACTTAAACTGTTGAAAACTTTGATGAAGAACATTTTTTGATCTGATAATATTTCCATGATTTAGAAAATTAGTACTTGCTTTACTTTGAACAATGACAAACTTCCCAAATAGTACTTATCTTCAGTACTGTAACCTTATCCTGTAAAAAATCTACATGTAATGAACATAAACTACATTAAGTAGCTGAGATAACATCTTTGAAAAAAAACCATGATTATATTATGTCCATGTAAATAGATAACAATCTTTGAAGTTTAAATAAATAAATAGAAATAAAATCACTCCTCAGTGTCCCAAAAATGCTTCCCAACCTCTGAATTGCTCTGAGACTGTTGCAGCTTGAAAAGAAAACCCCAGTTAGCCCTAAGTATTAAAGACTGTTGTAAAACTATCATAATGTGGTAAAAAATTATCCTTAACTAAAAACTGGTCATTAATCCATCATTTTAAATTAGGTTTATACTTAATTTACTACTATTTTTTTTCAAGTTTCTGAACAGTTTCCTAAGATGTAAAGTCCTATAAGCCATGTTGAAAAGAAAGGCAAAACAACTTACCATTCCTTTGCCTCTGTTTTTCACAGTGGTTACATCAGTAATAATTGCTGTTGAAATTGTCACATTCCCTTTACACAAACCACCAATGATCCTAGCCATCACAAAGATGGTAAAGTTCCATGAACATGCCCAAACAGCATATGAAGCCAATACTCCCACCTACATTAATTGCAAATGATACCTTTCAATTAATGTGTTCTAGTCAACCACTAAACAAAATTAGATAATTTGAAGAAAGTAATATAACACAACATAACTAGATATAGAATGGATAGATGTGCTACAGGTCATTGTCCTTCCACCTGAGGACAAAAATTGTTGGTAGCAGCATTTTGGAAACGTTTCCACAGCTTATGTCAGCTGGTGTCAAAAGTTGTAAATCCATGCCCGTAATTTTTGCATGATGCAATAGGCAGCATGAGTAACTTTAAAATAATTAAAATTATAATAATACTTTCTTTGATCCATAACAAAATGCACATTAAGAAAGAGGGTTTCTGAAATTTTTCTTTTCAGCAGAAGGGAGGGAGGGGAAGGAAATGTTCTTGGTACAATAATTACACAATGCATGTCCAGGAACAGACTCATTTGACAGTACTTTCAGGTCAGTTTTAAACAAATGTATTCTATCAAAGGCTGACCCTAAAAGCCAGAACAGCAGAGTGGCAGAAAATGACCCCAAATCTTAAAACACGGAACACAGTAAAATGACCCCAAATACTAAAACATGGAAAGTGGAAATGACCCCAAATCCTAAAACATGGAATGGCTGAAAATGACCCCAAATTCTAAACAAGGAATGGCTGTCAGGGCAATTGTTGCACGAATTTGTACAAAGACACTCGAGTGCTTGGCTCATTCATCCCTACAACAATAGTGCATGTGACCAAACTTAGACTAGCATGAGAGCAAGCCCTCGTTATGAGCCTTTTGATATGAGCGTTTCTTCATCCATGAATAAGTTTTGGACGTTGAGAAACACTAGGTAAAGAGAGGTTTACATGAGGTCATGCTTGTGGGAATTTCTCATGGTGTGAAAAGACAAAAGAAAGTTAGCAGAAGGAAGCCGTCAAGAAGAATTTGAAGAATTTCTTCACGACCAGGTGTTCAAAACACCACCATCCTACTATAGAATTTATGGTTTACATGCCAGTGGAAGAAATAAACTTTCTGAAGAAAAAAGAGGCTATTTCACCAATTCGTTTAGCGGATTTCTTCTGTTCCTCAACAAATTGCAAAATTATCGTCAACTCTATGGTGTTTAAATTGCCCTTTCTGAAAGGGAAGTCACTCACAGTAATTCAGACGGATCTGTAGATTGTCAAAGAATTTCAGATATTGTATTGCTTGTCCTCTTAGTTTTCTCTAAGGTTATCTGAATTTACAAAGGCATAATGATTTAGAATGTACAGTTAACTAAAGGTGAAAATCCTACAATGCCTCGATTGATTTCTTGGGAATTGATTGTTAGGCAATAAATGAGAAACAAACTGAACATCCACAGAATGATATATTACACATTATTACGAGCAAAGATAATTTTTTCCAGTATTAACTTAATATCTGTGGAAGTTATCCTCCTAAGGGGAAATTAGTGCAGGTACACTTGATTTTTTTGTGGAGACGCGGTGGCCTCATGGTTAGTGCCCTCGACTCTGGATTGAGTGGTCCAGGTTCGAGCCCCAGCCGGGACATTGTGTTGTGTTCTTAGGTAAGACACTTTACTCTCACACCCAAGTGTATAAATGTATAAATGTCTCTCTCCACCCAAGTGTATAAATGGGTACCGGCAATTTAATGCTGGGGGGTAACCCTGCGATGGACCGGCATCCCATCAAGGGGGGAGTTGAAATACTCCTAGTCACTTCATGCTACAGAAACCGGAGTTAAGCACCGGCCTAATGGGCCACTAGGCTCGTAAACAGACTTTACCTTACACTTGATTTTTATTTGGCTCTCTTAAAAACCTTCCTTCTATATTTTAGGCTTTGGGGTAATTTTCTACCATTCTGTCTTTTAGGAGTTGCTGCCAGCAAATGACTGGAAAAATGGGGTCAAATCCAAGGGAAATTGGGTTTTGTTTGTGCAAGTCTGAATAAGGGAGGGGTTTCGAGTTTGCCGGGTTCAAGTTAGCAGGGTTCTACTGACAGCCAGGATCTGTTCTCACCGTGCAAATTAAACTAATAGTGAAAACGTGAAAACGCAGCTATCTTTCATGCACAATGGTTCATTATTATTCATACCTCTAAGCAAAAGAAAAAAAATTACACTTAATTTTAGTCATGTGCATTATTGTCATGGGGATGAATGTCAGCCACATGCTTTGGTGTCTTTGTACAAAATTCATGCAACATGCCCTAAAATCCGTTTCATGTTTTAAGATTTGGGGTTATTTTCCGCCATTCCGTGTTTTCATTTGGGGTCATTTTCCGCTGTTCCATGTTTTAGGATTTGGGGTCATTTTCCACCATTCTACCATATTCCACCATACCGGCTTTTAGGGTCTCCCCTTCAAAAGGGGCTAGATTAAGCAATCCTTGTCAAATTGAGCACTAAATTCACAGAGAAAATGTAGAGAAAAACAATCCAAAAGAAAGCATGCTAATTCCTAC